AAAAAAAAAAAAAAAAAAAAAAAAGTGACGGCTTAAACTGAATGCAATCAAATTGTTAAATGTAAAACGCTATTATTATAAAGTCGAGGTTAAGATCATTGATGTTAGAAGTCAGGCCGACCTACATTTGAGTCACTACCCAGCCATCTCTGAGCCATAGCTCCCTGTCTACTCTTCTGAAAAATGGCAGTAATGCCTCAGCGGATTGTTGTGAAGCCTTTTTTTTTTTTTGAGTCGGAGTTTCCCTCTGTCACCCAGGCTGGAGTGCAGTGGCGCGATCTCGGCTCACTGCCACCTCCGCCTCCCGAGTTCAAGTGATTCTCCTGCCTTAGCCTCCCAAGTAGCTGGGATTACAGGCACAGGCCACTACGCCTGGTTAATTTATGTATGTTTAGTAGAGATGGAGTTTCACCATGTTGGTCAGGCTGGTCTTGAACTCCTGACCTCGTGATTCACCAGCCTCAGCCTCCCAAAGTGCTAGGATTGCAGGCATGAGCCACCGCGCCCGGCCCTGTTGTGAAGATTGAGTGAAATAATGAAGGTAACAAACTTGACACACGCCTGGCAAGTAGTAACTTCTCAAAAAATGATAGCAATTTTCCTTATAATAAATAAGAACAGGCAAATATTGTCAGTGGGTTGGTGTACTTATTGTAATTGAGTACCCAAGTTTGCTCAAAATTAGTTAAGGGAAAAAAGGTAATTCTTACTAATAAGGAAACATCCATTCTTCAGAAGATAAATTATTTTTCTAGTTTCTATATTAAAAGGAATTTATGCTGTGGGACCTTATAAGGAATTTATATGCTGTGGTGAACAGTGTTCCGCAGCTCTACAGACAAAATGAAAAGTCGTTTCTTTAAAACATAGAGAAGCATTCTGATGACCTTTCATGACACATGGGTAACAGTGACTCATATATTTAGTACCTCTGATAATGTCAGACCCTCTCTCTGTATATATCATTTACTTTATAAACTCCACAACAACCATGAAAAGTAGGTGTTAACTTCATTTTACAAATGAGGAAGTTAAGTATCTTGCTCTACATACATAACAACTATTAACTTCAGTATCTAGGCCTTTCTGACTGCATAGACAGCCATAGTTTTCTGTGTTTTTGACTAAAGGAGGATGAAAATGCTTGGGATACCAGATAGATGCGAGGGCAAGTTGGACAGCTTGACCTACCTAAATTGGATGGAATGTGGGCTGCAGAGGGACCTACGGTAGAAGCAAAATCTTTCTGTAGTGGAAAATTTTCACCATGGTCTTGGTAGAAAGGGGAGTAGAAAAAAATCGTTTGAATAACAATATATTTAAAAGAGAAAATTCTGGCGGGACGCGGTGGCTCATGCCTGTAATCCCCACACTTTGGGAGGCCGAGGTGGGTGGATCATGAGGTCAGGAGATTAAGACCATCCTGGCCAACATGGTGAAACCCCGTCTCTACTAAAAAAATACAAAAATTAGCCAGGCATGGTGGCAGGTGCCTGTAATCCCAACTACTTGGGAGGCTGAGGCAAGAGAATCGCTTGAACCAGGGAGTCGGAAGTTGCAATGGGTGGAGATCGCGCTACTGCGCCCCAGCTTGGTGACACAGCGACACTCCATCGCAAAAAAAAAAAAGAGAATTTCCAGCTTGGGAAATGAAGAGATGGGATGAGATGATCACTGAACCTTAGACCCATCTGTTCATTTATGAGTAGACTACAGCACTTCAAATTGAACTCGTCCTAAACAAATGATTCACTTACACCCCCTCCTCCACCCAGGCACTCAAACCAAAGCCTTTCTCTTTCCCTTGGATTATGAAATATCTCCCTCTCCATTAGAAATAAAATATCAATATTGTCAGCTTTACTTTGAAATATCTCTCAAATTTATACCTTTCCTTTCTTACAGCCTCTGCCTTGATCTAATTGGAATCGTTTGTTAACAGGTCTGTTGCAGTAGACTTGTAACTGGTTAATCTCTGCCTCCAATCTGTCCTAATTCATTCCCCACCTTGCTTGCAGCTAGAATGTCTTTGTAAAATGTCAGTCTGACCAAATTATACCCTTGCCTAAAACCAGTCAGAGGCTTCATTGCCTACAGAATATAAACTAAGCTGTTTACCAATGAGATGTCATTTTGTGCTTGAGGGTGTTGCCCACACTCCTCCCTTTGCCTGCAGTGCCTCGCATCTGCCTCCATTCTGCCTGGTAAACTAGTGATCCATCAGAATCCTTATGGGGTGCCTCTTTAACTTAAAGAAGCTTCTTTGCTGCCTTTCCATCTTATGTTACACAAAATACACTGTAACCTGTCTGTTGGAATGTCTTCCACCTTCACTGGTCTGTGAATCTCTAGGAAGTTGGTGCTTTGTAGTATTCAGCTTCATATCTGTCCTTCAATCCTTTACACTATTGCATGGGATACACACAACAGACATTAGATGGGTAAACAAAATCCCTTTGGGCTTTAATGTTAGAATTCCCCAAGTTAGCCTTCTAGAATTGTACAGCAGATGGCACTAATAGGCCGCTTAACAAATCCTCTTCACTTAAGAATTTTTGGCCCAACCTTGTCTGACTTTGGCCTTATCCTAGAAGCCAATATTTATGCCATCACAGGTAAAATCTCCTGTTTCCTCCCTCAGCCAATAGCAAAAATAGCAAAATGACTCAGCACCTTTGTCTCTGCAAGAAGAATGGAGTGGCAGATGTCCAGGGAAAGGTGCATTTGAGGGAATATTTTTTGTCCCAATTTATTCATGGTAGTTGGGGCTTTTCTTTTTTATTTATTTCTTTTTTCTTATCTTCTTTTGTTATTGTTCTTACAAGAAAGAGCTTTACTTGGTGGGTGCCTCATTTCTGTCCACTCTAAAAGGGAAGAAAGAAATTGGCAAATGGGGGAAAAGATGATTATGATGTGGGAGGTGAGGGAGTATCCACATAGAATTGCTTGTGGGCAGGCAAACTGTTGGCCTTCCTCCTCATCTGGAGGAGGGCCTGGGCAAATTTTCTGGACACTAGCGCCCTAAGTTAGGTGGAACATGTGGTTTTTCCTAGAAAAGAGGAGAGGAGGCATAGAAACCCTTATCAGATGGGTGCTATTTCAGATACCAGTATTTACATCTATGGCCCTTTCCCCCAGCTAAAACTGTTTTGGTGGAAATGATTCCAGCTAGACATCTTAGCCTCCAAATGAATATAGATTAAAGACTGGGAATTTGGGGCCAGGCATGGTAGCTCACACCTGTAATCCCAGCACTTTGGGAGTCCAAAGTGGGAAGATTGCTTAAGGCCAGGAATTCAAGACTAGCTTGGTCAACATAGCAAGACCCCAGCTCTACAAAAAAAAAAAAATGTTTTGAAAATTTAGCTAGATGTGATGACTCCTGCTTGTAGTCCTAGCTACCCAGGAGGCTAAGACAGGAAAATTTCTTGAGCCCAGAAGGGATGCAGTGAGCGCCTGAGGCTGCAGTGAGCTATGATCACACCATTGCCCTCCAGCCTGGATGACAGAGACCCTGTCTCAAAAAAAAAGGACTGGGAATTTTGAAACTGGAAATGATTTCATAAATTGTTTGTGTGTCCTCTCTCAGGGCCATTTGTGTCCTAAGCCCTCTTTCAGGGTGAACAGAGCTGTGAAAGGGAAAAAAATTGTAGACTTTGGAGTTAGACTTAATTGGATTGAGATCCGACCATTTATGTCCTTTATGTATGCCCTTGCCCAAGTATTTTAACCTTTTAAAATAATCTTTGTTTCCTTGTAAAGTGAATATAATAATGCTTCTCTCGAACGGTTGTTTTGAGCTTTAGAAACAATAGTTGTCAAAAGTCTTGCACAGTATCGCTGGCACAGTATAGATGCTTAATTGATAAGTGGCATGAAATGCTGTTTCTGCTAAAGGGATATTAAACTATGGGGAACAGGTCAGAGGGAAAATTTGGAGAGCTCTTGTATGTAAAGTTATATTTCTGAGGGCTTTTCATAATACTCCGATTAATTTGATGAAAACATTGAAACAAACAGCATAGTCATGTATTTGTAAATTCTTTTTTTTTTTTTTTTTTTTTTTTTTTTTTTGAGTGAATTTTATTTTTACCCAGGCTGGAGTGGGATGGCGCGATCTCGGCTCACCGCAATCTCCGCCTCCCGGGTTCAGGCAATTCTCCTGCCTCAGCCTCCTGAGTAGCTGGGATTACAGGCACACGCCACCATGCCCAGCTAATGTTTTGTATTTTTAGTAGAGACAGGGTTTCACCATGTTGACCAGGATGGTCTCGATCTGTTGACCTCGTGATCCACCCGCCTCGGCCTCCCAAAGTGCTGGGATTACAGGCTTGAGCCACCGCGCCCGGCCTGTAAATTCTTTTTTTGGTACCTACGTCCTGAACCTCCTAGGCTCTGAGGGAGCTGTATGTATGGAGAAAGCCAAGAATATTTTTCCTTAGCTTCTGGAACCTTCTGATGACATTGAGGGTTTTTTTTGTTCAGGTTTTTTCTAACCACCTCAGGCACTCTGCCACTTTTTTGAAGTGTGAATTGCCTGCTGTCAGCCTGGAGTTCTCACCTCTGCAATCCTGGCTGCAGGCATATTTGCATATTGGATGCCGTGTTCTTTAACCCCCTGAGGTTTGAATCCACTTGGAGTCTGTGTGTGAAAGCTGGCTACTTTCAAACCCCTGGACAGTTTCAGCTCAGTGGTCTCTAGAAAAACAGAAAACCCCCAACAATAGCTCCATTCACTTTTATGTAAATGGTACTCTTCAGGAAAACACTGGGCTATTTTCCAAGGCCCCAGAACATACTCAAACATTTGTTTGAGTGGGAGGTGGGGAGAGAGTTCTTTTGAGTCAATGAACATCTGTTCAGAATTGCTGTGCTGGGTCCCAAGAACACAGAGCTTATAATCTGGCTCTTCCCTGCCAGAGGTACCAGCAGAGATTTACTATACTAGGTGTATGTGCTTCTGCTGGCTTGTATTGTGTCAGTTTAGCTAAGCTGGAGTCCCAGGATCCTTCCTATATGGTTCCAGGTGAGGGCTGTCCACAAGAAAATTTCATGAGAGATTTGGGAAGCTTAACTGAAGTAGCAGCCAGTACACTGCGAAGGACAGAGCAGGGTTGGTACACTGCGAAGGACAGAGCAGGGTACCAAGCATGGTGGCAGTGCCTGTACTTTCTCTCTGATCTGCTGGCTTACCTTGTTGGTGAAGGTCATCAAACAGCCTCCAGCACCCCCAACTCCTACTGAATCTCCTCCTTCAGCTCCTCTGCGTCCTGGGCCATGTGTGCAGTCAGCTCTCTAGCAAAGGGCTCCAGCTTCTCCAGATCACCTGAGTTGCTGAGCTTGGGGCCAGTGAAAGGAAGTTGTGGGTTTCAGGTTATCTTCATGAGTTCCAGTTGTCCTTGTAGATCCCAGTTTGTTCTCAGAGGTTCCAGTTTGTCTTTGTTCTCTTCTCATCCCTACTACTGGTCTCATGGACTCCAGGCCCAGCACCAGATGCAGAGGCGACACAGTTGCATGGATTTCTCTACCATCTTCCATAGATACACACTGTCTAATCCTAACAATAAATCTTTAGTTTTCTGTCGCTCATAGCATTTGCTTCCCTGATTGAACTTTATGGTAGAAGTTTGTTCAAGCCACGTTGAGGACACAGAACACGGAGTGATTAGAAACCAGGAAGTTTCATAGAGGAGGTGACATCTGAGCTGCTTCTGATGAGTAGGAGGTTGTGTGTATAGAGTGGGTAGGAAGAGTTCTAGAGAATAGCTGGCTCAAGCCAAATAATTGAAAGAGCGGTGAGGAGTTCTGTATTTCTAGAACTGTTCTTTCCATGGGTCCAGAATATAGATGGAGAATGAGCATCTGATCCTAGCTCTTCTGGCGCCATTGAGATGAACTGTTAGCTGATATGGTTCTTAGATGTGGTCATCCCTAATACAATGGCAACCACTGAAATACATTCTTGCTAGGGTACACCTTTGCCACTACCCTAAGATTCCTTCCCCACCCCACCACTGCCTAGGAAAATATTGGCCCACTCTCCCCTTCCCAGTGGTTCCACATGGCCAACCCAGGTTTGTCTTGGCCCCCCATGCAGGCATCTTTGCTTGTCCATGCTGCATTGGTGGTGGCAGTGGTATGGAGTTCCTGTCCTAGTCAGGGCACTGTACCCTCTAGTCTTGGATCCCTAAGCTTATTTAGGGATTCTAACATTCATTCTATGGGACCTGAGGCAGGAACAGGTACCCTACATCTATAACTTTCTAATACTTTTTGAGCATCTTTATAGGGAGGGCATGGGATCAGTTACCTGTTTCTGCTTCAGCCATGGACCAATAATATGAAATCTTTGTTCACCAGTTCTACAGTGATGGGGTGCTTCCTATTGGCTTCTGGAATGGGGTAAGTTCTTGGCATAAATAGGGAATCCAGGAAGGTAGAACATGGTGTTTAATAAAAGCCTACTACCACTTTACATATGAATTTGTAAATTCAAACAGGGATTTCATTATACATACTATTCAGAACCATCTTTTTTTCATGTGTCTAAATATTTTTCCTTACAAGTAGCACATTAGGCTTGACCAGATATTTTTTTCTTTTCTTTTTATTATTATTATTTTTTAGACAGAGTCTTGGTCTGTCACCAGGCTATAGTGCAGTGGTGTGATCTTGGCTTGCTGCAACCTTCATCTCCCAGCTTCAAGCAATTCTTCTGCCTCAGCCTCTTGAGTAGCTGGGACTGCAGGTACTTGCCATCACACCCAGTTAATTTTTGTATTTTTAGTAGAGACAGGTTTTCACTATGTTGGCCAGGATGGTCTCAATCTCTTGACTTCGTGATCTGCCCACCTTGGTCTCCCAAAGTGCTGGGATTACAGGTGTGAGCCACCGTGCCTGGCTTCTTTTTCTTTTTCTTTTATTTTTGAGACAGAGTCTCGCTGTGTTGCCCAGGCTAGGGTGCAGTAGTGCAAACATGGCCCACTGCAGCCTCAGCCTCCCAGGCTCAAGCAATCTTCCCACCTTGGCCGCCTGAGTAGCTGTAACTATAGGTGTGTGCCACCACATCTGGCATTTTTTTCTATTTTTTGTAGAGACGAGGTCTCACTATGCAAGCAGTCCTCCTGCCTCAGCCTCCCAGAATGCTGGGATTAAAGGAATGAGCCACTGCGCCAAGCCTCGACCTCATTTTTTAATGGCTTCATGTTATTTCATCATGTAGATATACTGTACTTTTTGCCCATTCTCAGATTGATGAACATTTGTTTCTGGCTTTTTTCCTTTTTGATATTGCAAACAAAGTTGTAGTGAACATCGTTGTGTGTATATTTCTTATCTGAGAGTGGCTAGAAATGGAATGCTGGCTCTTAGGGAATGTGCATTTTATGTTTTGATAATTATTATCAAATTGCCTTCCTAAGGGGATATGCTAATTTACTTTTCTGCCAACAGTATTTGAGAGCACAGCCCACTTCAGAAATCCCCTTTGAGATTATCTCCAATCCTTAAAAACTTTTGTTACAGGTTTAGAAAAGCTTGGAAGGGTCTTGGTGTTGGGTGTTTGGTTTTTGATGAGAAACTACTGTTCTCTAGAGTAACATTACCATCTGTTGGCAGTCCTGAGAATTGCCCTGGAGTAGGTTTCTGTTTGGGCCTGACTTTTATGCCTTTGACAGCTGCATACTCGTCTTGATTGAGCACCAGCAAAGGGGCTGTGGAGGATAGTAGCTCCTGCCCCAGCAGCCCTCTCTGCATCAGCTCTGCTAGCCCCGGGCACCAGCAATGCCAGGCAGTGGTGGGATGTCCCTGTATTGCCAGCTGCTTAGGAGGCTGACTGGGAGGACCACTTCTGTCCAGGAGTTTGAGGCCAGTGTGGGCATCATAGTGAGACCCTGTCTCTTAAAAAAAAATGGATAAAATAAAAGACTAAAAAAAAAATCTCAGGCTGGGCATGATGGCTCATGCCTATAATCCTAACACATTGGGAAGCTGAGGTAGGTGGATCACTTCAGCCCAGAAGTTCAAGACCAGCTTGGGCAATGCCGTGAGACCCTCTTTCTACAAAAAAATAAAAAAAAATTAGCCAGATGTGGTGGTGGTGGTGGTGCATGCCTACAGTCCCAGCTACTTGGGAGGTTGAGGTGGGAGGTTTGCATGAGCCTGGGAGGTCGAGGCTGCAGTGAGCTATGATCACACCACTGCACTCCAGCTTGGTGAACAGCACGAGACCCTGTTTCAAAAAAGAAAACAAAAAACTCAACAAATTTTTTTTTTGTATACGAAGTTACCCTTCATAGGTGACCCCTCCGCATCATCAGAAACCACATTGCTGGCGAGCTGTGTGCTACAGAGGCTCAGTATATAGGCTGGGGAAATGGTATTACAGGTTTGATAATAAAACTTGTACTGCCTCTCTCTCCCATTCCAGCATCTCTTTTGTTTCCATGCATTTGCCTCTGAGGATCTCCAGTGTCATAACAAATGCATGCCAGCCCTGTTTGACAGGGAGCCCTGGAGGCATTGGCATAGAGGCCACATTGACTGAGGGTAGTTGCTGGGGTCCTGCAGTTACACACAAAGGTCAGTCTCTGATTCCTGGATGCCGTCCATTGGTCCTGGGCATGCTGCCTTTTTCTGTGGGCTATGAGATCACAGTTAACTAGCCTGTGCTACTGTCCAGCACCAGATTGCTACCCCACCCCCCGGTATGGAGCTTCCTATTTTGTGTAACTTTCCAATATTCTGTATCTTCTTTGTTAAGTCCTTAGGATAAGACCATGGCCCTGAGAGCATGTGGCTTGATCATCTTCCGAAGATGCCTCATTCCCAAGGTGGACAACAATGCCATTGAATTTCTCCTGCTGCAGGCATCAGATGGCATTCATCACTGGACTCCTCCCAAAGGTAGAGGTCAGCGGGACCAGCTTTTGGGAAACTACCAAGCACTGCTCAGAAATCTACCCTGCCAGGCCCTCCCCAAGGCTTGATTCCCAGTGACTGTGCAGCAAAAGGGGGTAGGGAAGGTAGGAGCCCTTGACCCTTTCTACATACAATGTCTCCACCAGGCCAGAGTAGAGCTGGAAATAGAATTCTGTGACTGAATTCAAGGGTAGAAGCAGCACTTGGTGTTTTTAATGAGTATTATTCGCCAGCTCTTCAACCTCCATGGTGAATGGCTAGGTAAGAGAAAAGCCAGCAAGCAGGGAATTGGGGACCTTGGGGTTGACTGAGCTGTGTGCCCACCTCTCTTAGCTTTCAGTTTTTCATCTGTCAAACAAGGGCTTGACTAGAAAATCCTTAGTTTTCGGCCAGGCACAGTGGTACACGCCTATAATCCCAGCACTTTTGGAGGTCAGGGTGAACAGACCACTTGAGCCCAGGAGTTTGAGACCAGCCTGGGCAACATGGCGAAACACTGTCTCAACAAAAATTACAAAAATTAGCCAGGCGTGATGGTACATACCTGTAGTCCCAGCTACTCAGGAGGCTAAGTTAGAGGATAACTTGAGCTTGGGAAGTCAAGGCTGTAGTGAGCCGAGATCGAGCCACAGCACTCCAGCCTGGGCGATACAGCCTATCTCAAAAAAAGAAAGAAAATCCTAAGTTTTCTTCCAGGCTATCTCTGATTTTATTTGGTAATTTCCTTTGACTCCTAGTTCATTAGGTTTTTCTTTTTTTGAGACGACTCCTCACTCTGTTGTCCTGGCTAGAGTGCAGTGGCATAATCTCAGCTCACTGCAACCTCCACTTCCCTCGTTCAAACAATCTTCCTGCCTCAGCCACCCAAGTAGCTGGGAGTACAGGCACCCACCGCCATGCCTGGCTAATTTTTGTATTTTTAATAGAGACAGTGTTTCACCATGTTGGCCAGGCTGGTGTCGAACTCCTGACCTCAGGTGATCTGCCTGTCTGGGCCTCCCAAAGTGCTAGGATTACAGACATGAGCCACCGTACCTGGTGAGGTTTTTCTTTTGAACTAAACACAGAGAGTATGACTTCTAGAGTATTTCTGAACATAGTTGTATTTTGAGTTGGAGCACAGAGAAGTTGAGTTCCCTGATCATAGATTCATCTGCGATTGTGGCAGGAGTGGAAGAGTGAGGGGATGGGTGGGGCCTTAGACCAGAAGGCTGTGAAGATTATGGAGACCTTGGGATTGCAGCTTGAATGGCTACCTGTGCCTCAGTCCATCACTCAGCCCTCAGTGTAGAGCTGGCCAAGTCTCCAGAGGGAAGAACAGTGAAGACTGAGGCCTTAGACCAGACCAAGGTCTGTTTGAAAGCTGGCCAGTTTTCATCCACCAGCCCTCCTGACCCCACCTCTAAGAGTAAGAAAGCTGCAGTCATTTGGTCCTGAAAGAGAAGCCAGGTTATGTGGGGGGAAATGGGAAAAAGGAGCTCTTCTTGGCTGAGGCCATTGGGACGGTCCGAGTCGGGAGGGACAGACTGTGGCTCAGGTGCCTACTGGAGTGGGGAATAGCCCTCAGACAGAAGGAAGCAGGGACTTTATTTTTTAGATTATTTTATGTTATTATTTTATAGAGACGGTCTCGGTATATTGCCCAGGCTGTTCTTGTACTCCTGGGCTCAAGTGATCCACCCACCTCAGTCTCCCAAAGTGTTGGGATTACAGGCATGAGCCACTGTGGCTGGCTGGAAGCAGAGACTTTAAAAGGGTGTGGAGTAAGAAGGGATGGACGAAGATCCAGGATTGAAAAAAAATAAGGAAATGGGAACAGGAAATAAATTTTGCATATTTGAGTTGTACTGGGGAGAAACAAGGTGAAAAAAAGAGACAGAAGCTTCACAAATACTATGAATAGGAATATTCACACTTGTCTCTGGATCACCTGAGTCACACTGCCCTGTTGCTCTCACTACCTGATGTCAGTGGACCTCTCCTAATCCTTTCCTGCTTCGGCAGAAGCTACCCTGTTAATTAACACTGATAGGCAGAATACTGAATAGATGCCCCTGGGAGGGGTGTGCTCAGAGACTTCCACACACCTCTGAGGGGAGGTAGGACATCCTAAATCAATGTCACCCGTCACTACCAGTATCCCTCCCACCTTCCTCCCCCAATGCATTACCTGTCTTTGTGTACATCACTATAGGAGGTGCTGTGCAGAGAAAATTCCCCAGACGCCATAAGCTAGAAAGGTTTTTAAGTGCTAAGTTCCTGGGGATTTTTTTGTGCAGCAACTGACTCAAGGTATTGTAGACCCCTGGGAAGGAGGAGGGTCCCCATCTCCAAACCAAGGAGGGAACAGCTGAGAGTTCCTGCTCCCCATGAGCCTATGAGCTAGGAGGCGTCCCTAGAAACTTACTGGAGCCAAGTGTAGGACAGAGTCTGCCAGACCCTTCTTGGCCCCTCTGGGGAAGCTGAGGATTTGAGGGAGGGACCAAGAGGTAAAGCTGAGAGCTGCTCCAGTCTGCAGCACCTCAAGTTCTCCTACAGCAGTTTCTTGGCAGCTGTCTTCTTGGGTTTGGGTGTTGCTAACACATTTTCTAAGAAGTGGCTCTTCGGTGGCTCAAGCCTGTAATTCCAGCACTTTGGGAGGCTGAGGCGGGTGGATCACGAGGTCAAGAGATCGAGACCATCCTGGTCAACATGGTGAAACCCCGTCTCTACTAAAAATACAAAACATTAGCTGGGCATGGTGGTGCATGCCTGTAATCCCAGCTACTCAGGAGGCTGAGGCAGGAGAATTGCCTGAACCCAGGAGGCGGAGGTTGCGGTGAGCCGAGATCGCGCCATTGCACTCCAGCCTGGGTAACAAGAGCGAAACTCCGTCTAAAAAAAAAAAAAAAAAAGAAAAAGAAAAAAGAAAAAAGAAGTGGCTCTCAGCTGGCCCTTAGTCTAAGTTCCCATTAAGACTTTCCCTATGAAACTGAAATCTGGCCTTGCCCGGTAAGAAAGATGAAAACAATTTGGAAACAGCCTTGATAGCTTCATGGAAACAGCTGCTTGTTCAGCCGTGCAGGGTTTTGAGCCTGTCTCTTGGCCCTGGACTATCAGGGTTCACCTGTAGACAAATGTTAAGTCCTCACTGGATTGTAGGCAAAGTACTTCCTCTTTAGCTAATCCATTTCTTAAGAAAGGATGTCCCCCCTCCTCGGAAAAATCACTTTAAAGTCTCCAATAGAAAAATGATTCCTTAGAACATGGGATGAAGAAAGTTCCAAAGAATAACAAAGCAGAGGTCTGAAGAAGGTCATTTCACATCATTAAAGAGCGGTATTCTAAACCTGACTTGCTGTACACATGGTCTGTTTCACTCTCTGCAGAGAAGATGGAGTGGGAAGGTGGGATTGCTCAAACCCCAAGAACTAGACACTACCTGCCTGCACCCCCTCCCAGGCATGTTAGGATATTGCCAATTTCCAGGCTTCCTTTAGCCTAGGAACACCTAGAAAAGTCACTGAATGGCTGGGCTTGGTGGCTCATACCTGTAATCCCAATACTGGGAGGCTGAGGCAGGAGGATGACTTGAGGCCTGGAGTTTGAAACCAGCCTGGGAAATATAATGTGAGACCATCTTTACCAAAAAAAAAAAAAAAAAAAAAAAAAAAAGCCACACACAAAAAAATTAGCTGGGCATGATGGCACATGGCTGTTGTTGTAGCTACTCAGGAGGCTGCGGTGGGAGGATCACTTGAGCCCATGAATTCAAGGCTGTGGTGAGCTGATTGCACTACTGCATTCTGGCCTGGGGCAACAGAGTGAGTCTCTGTCTCAAAACAAAACAGAAAAAAAAAAAAAAAATCTAGACTGGAGAATCCAGCTTTGGGAACTTTGGAAGATTTCCTCCTCCTTTTCTTCCTTTTTTCTCCTAACTAGGCCATGTGGAACCAGGAGAGGATGACTTGGAAACAGCCCTGAGGGAGACTCGAGAGGAAGCGGGCATAGAAGCAGGCCAGCTGACCATCATTGAGGGGTTCAAAAGGGAGCTCAATTATGTGGCCAGGAACAAGCCTAAAACAGTAATTTACTGGCTGGCAGAGGTAAAGGACTACAACGTGGAGATCCGCCTCTCCCATGAGCACCAAGCCTACCGCTGGCTGGGGCTGGATGAGGCCTGCCAGTTGGCTCAGTTCAAGGAGATGAAGGCAGCACTCCAAGAAGGACACCAGTTTCTTTGCTCCACAGAGGCCTGACCTGACTGGAACAGAGTCATTTGCTTCAGTAGGATCCTTTTGGGCTTGTTAAGATGAAGCCACCCTCAGGTCCAGGGAAGCTTGTGCTGGTATTTGGCTCATCACAGTCAAGAGCAGATAGGTTTGTGAAATCGGCTCAACTCTCAGATGAGAGCAAGCAAAAATCTCTGCTGGGCAGAAAGGAAGGCAAACGAGGAGTAAAAATTAAAAAGGCCAGGCCCAGTAAAGTGTACCTTTTACTTTATAAATAAACCTCAACCAGCTCAAGGTTGTCCTTCTAACCTGTTGTGTTTATTTCTTGGACTCTTGGCATTGGTGGGGAGAAGAAAGCTAAAGTGAATCAGAGCTCTGACGTTAACCAGAGGGAACTCTTGTGTCCATACGATATCCCCACAGAACTTAAGAGCTAGGGTGTCCAAATGGGAAAGATCCAGCACTGCCAGGATGGCTCTCTTGCCTCTGGAATGCCAAGCACACTCACCCCACTCCCACCAGTGGCCCTGAGACTTTGCAACCCATAGTCAGGATTTCCAAGTGAGTGGGATTGGAGTGCAGGAATTGGGTCTGTTCTACTCACCGTTATATCTTTCACGAGCACCAGGCACGTATGTTGTAAGTGCTCAGTAAATATTACCTTAAATAGGGCTGGGCATGGTGGCTCACACCTGCAATCCCAGCACTTTGAGAGGCTGAGGTGGGCGGATCACTTGAGGTCAGGAGGTTGAGACCAGCCTGGGCAACATGATGAAACCCCGTCTCTACTAAAAATAGAAAAAATTAGCTGGGTGTGGTGGCACACACCTGTAATCCCATCTACTCAGGAGACTGAAGCAAGAGAATCACTTGAACCTGGAAAGTGGAGGTTGCAGTAAGCCACGATCATGCCACTGCATTCCAGCCTGGGTGACGGAGTGAGTCAAAAAATAGAAATATTACCTTAGGCCGGGCATCGTGGCTCATGCCTGTAATCCCAGCACTTTTAGGAGGCCGAGGTGGGCAGATCATGACGTCAGGATATTGAGATCATCCTGACCAACATGGTGAAACCCTGTCTCTATTAAAAATAACAAAAATTGGCAGGAGAATTGCCTGAACCCAGGAGACGGAGGTTGCGGTGAGCCGAGATCGCGCCATTGCACTCCAGCCTGGGTAACAAGCAAAACTCCGTCTCAAAAATAAATAAATAAATAAAATAACAAAAATTAGCTGGGCGTGGGGGCATGTGCCTGTAATCACAGCTACTCAGGAGGCTGAGGCAAGAGAATCGCTTGAACCAAGGAGTAGGAAGTTGCAGTGAGACAAGATTGCGCCACTGCACTCCAGACTGGCCACAGAGTAAGACTCCATCTCCAAAAAAATTATTACCTTAAATAATTAGAAACTGGCTAGGCATGGTGGCTCACACCTGTAATCCCAGCACTTTGAGAGGCCAAGGTGGGTGGATCACTGGAGGTTAGGAGTTTAAGACCATCTGATCAACATGGTGAAATCCCATCTCTACTAAAAACACAAAAATTTGCTGGGCATGGTGGTGCACACCTGTAATTTCAGCTTCTCGGGAGGCTGAGGCAGGAGAATTGCTTGAACGTAGGAGGTGAAGGCTGCAGTGAACTGAGATTATGCCACTGCACTCCAGGCTGGGCAACAGAGTGAGATTCCATTTCAAAAAAATAAATTAAATAAATAGAGACAGAAGGAATTTTGGACTCCCCATCACAACAGAGGGAGGACGGACAGGCAACCCTGGACCCCCAAGTCAGTGACACATGCTCTCTGTGCTCTTAGCCCAGGCCTGCCTCCCAGAGTGATAAGCTTTGTCAACATGACAAGGTCACTGGGAGTGAAGCAAGCCCAGAGCCAAAGGAATCTGCTGGGTCACCCAGCAGTCACGTGACTACACCTGTGCATTACTCACCTGCAGTTGCTTTCCCCACCCTCAGCAAAACCTCATTAATGTTTCTCTCTTCCTATCTACTCTTTGTCCACAACTCCACTGTAAGACCCAGAGGTGCAAGAGTTGGGTTTCAGCCCTGTTTTCCCTTGCTACTAGGGCTCAAGGAATGCAGGAGCAGGTGTTAGATCCCACAACCCTTCCAGGAGCTGTTAGCAGCTGGGTTCATGTGGATTTTATTAGAAAGTTGTTGCCCAGTGAAGTGCAGAAGAGTGGAAGCGAAGGGGCATTGGCAGAGGTCAGCCGGGATTACCAAGGTCAAGAACAGCCACCCCCAAAGGAAGAAAAGACACTTCACCCAGGTCTTAAGCAGACTTCCAGATGTTTTTAGTCCCTGGTTCTCTGTGCAGACAGGGCAAAAGTACTAGTGAACAGGATCTTGGAGCACAGCCAGAGACCTGAATGGTTTTGTTCCTCACCCCTCTGAGCAGCATTCTCTGAAGAAGGCCCGCTGCAGGAAGTTTTTGGAGCTTAATGTTCTTTTTCCAGGCCAGCAGGGACCACGTCGCACTGATTTAATAAATGCCTGCTGGGCAGTGGTGCCAAACCACAGACGAGCTGCCTCCTAACAAGGGCTGGCTGGCTCCACGCTCTCAGAATGGGAGGCTGTGGATTCTCAAGTCTAAGACCTCATACATCAAAGTTGGAAAGGACCTGGAAAATGACCTTATTTGGCTGTTCATTTTTATTGCTGGGGAAATTGAGACTTTACAAGGTAGATGGCCCTGACAGTATCTATAGGTGGGATCCTTGGAGAAGGGGATGCCAGAGGGAAGACTGCTTTAGAATGTCTTATATAGCTTTGGAGTCACTCCTCTGGGCCTTACAGAGTGTTCCATTAAAATGTAGGTACTGCTGGGCATAGTGGCTCACGCCTGTAATCCAAGCACTTTGGAGGCCAAGGCAGGCGGATCACCTGAGGTCGGGAGTTCAAGACCAGCCTGACCAACATGGTGAAACCTCATCTTAAAAAAAAATAAAATGTAGGTACTTTGCTGAAGAGATCCCCCATAAGTTGTATTCTTTGCAGGAATAATTGACAACAGGAATGGGAACAAGGCATGTCATGGGAAGTGGATGAGGGTGGGAGACAGAACTGAGATTGGGATGTGGCAAGTGAGTAGGCTTTGACAACATCACCACTTTGCTTTTGGCCAGTGGAGCTTGTTCAGCCTGAACTCAGAGACCCCAGAGTATTACAAAGTCCAGCTCCTGTGCCCCACCACCCCCTCTCATTGGCAGAGCAACTCTGCTGATGCTGCACTTTGGGTTGGGCCAGGCCTCAGGGAGACCTCAGCAGAGCTGTACCAGTTCAAGAGATGCTTGCATGTTAAAGTTTTCCTCCAGAGGGTGGGGCTGGCGAGGACTAATCTAAAATTGGAGGAGAACCCTGCCCCAGCCCTTCTGAGGGAAAGCTCTTCCCTGGGCCTCAGCCAGTTTACCAGCTCTTTGGCTGTCAGAGTCCCAGAGTTCTAGAGTTCAGTCCTTCCCATGTTTTTTTTTTTTTTTGTTGTTGTTGTTGTTTTTGTTTTTCTTGAGACAGAGTCTTGCTCTGTTGCCCAGGCTGGAGTGCAATTGGTGCTATCTCAGCTCACTGCAACCTCTGCCTCCCGGGTTCAAGCAATTCTCCTGCCTCAGCCTCCCAAGTAGCTGGGATTACAGGCTCCCACCACTGCACCTGGTTAATTTTTGTGTTTTTAGTGGAGATGGGGTTTCACCATGTTGGCCAGGCTGGCTTCAAACTCCTAACCTCAGGTGATCTGCCTGCCTTGGCCTCCCAAGTGCTGACCCAGGTTCTTTATGTAGCGTTTCAGTAGTTAAGTGAGCAGAGAAAGCAAAGAGATTGCTGATGTGGTCATCGTTACACTCCACAGGAGTTTCCCCAGTGAACAAATTTAGGGAATAGGGAGCTAGAAGAGCATCTTGCTCCATCATGGGGTTGGCTCCAGAGTGTAGCCTCTTGCTTCTTTTTACAGGGATTGGAAGAAAGATGATCAAGGTTGGGCGTGGTGGCATTGGCTTACACCTGTAATCCCAGCACTTTGGGAGGCCGATGCAGGAGGATCACTTGAGCTCAGAAGTTAGAGACCCAGCCTGGGCAATGTAGTGAGACCCCATCTCTACCAAAAAGAAAAATTAACCAGGCATGGTGGTGTGTACCTGTAGACCCAGCTACTCAGGAGACTGAGGGAGGAGAATTGCTTAAGCCCAGGAGGTTGAGGCTGCAGTGAACCAAGATTGTGCCATTGCACTCCAGCCAGGGTGACAGAGTGAGACCCTTATCTCAAAATTAATTAATTAATTATTTTTAATTTTGAGATGGAGTTTTGCTCTGTTGCCCAGGCTGGAGTGCAGTGGTGTGATCTCGGCTCACTGAAGCCTCCGCCTCTCAGGTTCAAGTGATTCTCCTGCTTCAGCCTCCTGAGTAGCTGAGACACAGGCTTGTGCCACCATGCCTGGCTAATTGTTTTTCTATTTTTAGTAGAGATGGAGTTTTACCATGTTAGTCAGGATGGTCTCCATATCCTGACCTTGTGATCTGCCCGCCTTGCCTCCCAAAGTGCTGGGATTACAGGCATAGGCCACTGCGCCTGGCCAATTAATTTTTTTAAAAAAGGAAGAAGAAAAATGACTAGTCCTTCCCAAGTTCTCCATAGAGGGTGGCTTGGGGAAGGAGCCTAGGCAGAACCATAGTTGGGAGAGGAGCAGCCTCTGGCTTGAGAAACCTTTGTTTAAACATTTATGTTATCACCTCCATGGCTCCTAAAGTCCTGCCTCCTTCAAATAGCTTTCCCAGGATACTCAGAAATTGCTGGTTTCTGTTTCCCTTATGGCTACTTCCCCTCTCTCAAAACTCATCTGGCACCTTAGGTAGTTGCTTCATTAAAACAAAACAAAACAAAACGGTATCCAGTATGACTGTTGCTCTTTTAACTCAGGGATCCCCTCCCACCCTCCCTCCCAAGATGACCAGTGTTGGCTAGGCACAGTGGCTCGTGCCTATAATCCCAGCACTTGGAGAGGCCAAGGAGGGTGGATTACCAGAGGTTAGGAGTTTGAGACCAGCCTGGCCAACATGGTGAAATCCCGTCTCTACTAAAAACTACAAAAAATTAGCCAGGCCTAGTGGTGGGCACCTGTAATCCTAGCTACTCGGGTGGCTGAGGCAGGAGAATAGCTTGAACTTGGGAGCTGGAGGTTTCAGTGAGCTGAGATTGTGCCACGGCACTCCAGCCTGGGTGACAAAGTGACACTCTGCCTCAAAAAAAAAAAAAAAAAAAAAAAAAAGATTTCTAGTGTCCTTGGCCCTCCAAGACACACGTGCTGAGG